TGCTCTGAAACCCCTGCTCACCGGTTTGATCTAAATTGTGGCTATATCGGATATCGTATTGTATCGCCATTATAAGTATATATATATATATATATGTATATATATATATATATATATATATATATATATATATATATATATATATATACAGATGTATATATCACTGCTTGTTACGTTAATTTTAATTTAATAATTTGACAGGTTCTTCGTGCATGAATACGAATGACAATGCACATTTGCACAGTGTTTGCGTTTGTTCTCGGTTGCAGGTAATAATGGCGAGATCGGTTCTATGCTTGTTAATGCTGGCTGGCTCGTTGCTGACAGCAGCCAACGGCAGCTGCGAGCTAACGTCGCCCGGTAGCGGTATCCTGCTTCCGACCGTAAGCCTCCAGTCGAGCTTCAGCCGCATGGTCGAGTTTATGAACAGCCTCACTAGAATCGTCAATAGCACCTCTAGCGCCCGGGCCGTCTACAGTGAGCGTAACGAGGCGTTCCTCACCGAGGGTCAGGGCTACGGACTTGTCATCGCCGCCTCCGTCGCCGCCACGACGTTGAACGACGAACGCGAGACGGCGCTCAGTTACGCCCACGAGTTATTCCTCGGCTTGAAGAAGATGTGCGAGCTGACGGATAAGCGTAGTTGTCAAGGTGGCGGCTACATCTGCGAGGGTAACCCCTGCCTGCCTGCCTGGAAGTTGGAAAGCTTAGAGGTAGCGCCCAACCGCAGTAACGCGGCGGGCGCAGACGCGGACAGCATATTGGGAATGATCATCATGGTGGAGACATCTGTCGGCGAGGGACGGCCGTGGTGGAACGAGGTCGCCAAATGGGCTTACCAGAGGTGCAAGGCTTTCATGGATTTCAACACGATACTAGATTCGTCCGGAACGAAGAGGACCCTGCGAAATGGTAGCTGCTGGGGAGGTTGGGACTGCGCGAATCCGTCCTACTACTCACCGGCGCACTACCGCGTGTTCAGAGATTACATGTTGAAGTACGCCAGCAGATACGCCACGGCAAGCGAAGGACTCGATTACAGCATCAAGTGGAATGGCCTCATCAACACGGTCTACCTCATCCTAGAAGCGAACCAGTGTCCTTCGACCGGACTGACGACCAACTGGTTCATTCCGAATGAGGCCGACCCATCTAGCGGTGGTTCCGCTGAATGCAACGGAATCAACGGCACTCCGTCGGCCGAGTTCGGCTCCGAGGCAGCGCGCAGCGTGTGGCGCGTCACGCTCGATGTCTTCTGGTTCCCCGAGGAAGCGACGCAGGGTGTCGGTGCCGCCACCTACTCGGCGCGCGTCGCCAACCAGGTCATATCGAAGATGAAGACGACCAACAGCAGCTGCCTCTCCACGAAATGCGTCGGCAACCTGGACACGGGATGCTTCGTCACGTCGATCAGTCCTAACTGGCTGGACAAAGGCTTCATGTACGGGCCGACGTTCTCGTCGCTGCTGCCGCCGCTCGTCGGCGGAGAAGCGGCCGACCAGCAGCGCGTGCTTGACCTCGCAGCTACGAAGGTCGACTCGGCAGCCATCAGTTCTTACTACAGCGGTAGTTGGACGGTGCTTGCCACGCTCACGCTGTCTGGCGATCTGGCTGCTCTGAAACCCCTGCTCACCGGTTTGATCTAAATTGTGGCTATATCGGATATCGTATTGTATCGCCATTATAAGTATATATATATATATATATGTATATATATATATAAATATATATATTCCTAGCTGTGTAGTGGCGAATAAATATTATGCATCAAAATCAGCCCAAGTAATAAGGGATCCAGATATAGTATTGAATTTTGGAGTAATAATTAAGAGGGGTTGTATTATGTGTTATATATCAATTATTGTATTATTGTGTTGTATCTTTAAATAGAGTGGCGATGTCTGGATATTGATGATAATCTGTGGGTGAGAAGCAATCAGCGGTGCCATAGAACGATGAGAGAGCAAGGGAAAGAGAAACACGTAGTCGTACAATAGAGCGGAGAGAGTGAGTGGGTGTCTGGGTGAGTGAGTGAGCAACCGATATATATATATATATATATATATATATATATATATATATATGATATGATATATGAGAGAGAGAGGGAGATAACTGAGTAGAATCAGGCCTATGTGCGCGGAAGTGGAGGGAGAGTCGGTATAGCTGCGTAACGCGTGCGATAAGTCAGCGCAGAGACGTGAATAATTTTAGCGCGTGTCAACCGCTCTATTAACGGTATCGGGGTTTTTTGTGGGGTAACGAGTGATGGTTTTAGTTATACGTGGCAATTATGTCAATGAAATGTGCGTGTGTCCGTTGTGCTAATTGTGTACGGTACGGAGAGATACGTGTCGCTGCCCGATGCGTGCATTCTGTGAAATTATCAGGCAGCACATGTGTAGGTGTTAGTAGTTGCGTTATTGTTGCGCACGTTATTTGTTAGTAAAACTGGATAGTTGTCACCCGTTAGATCTGTTGTTGTGTTATTTCCTGGTTGCCGCATGATATCACGGAACTGCCCACCTGTTGTCTCAGTAACAAAAATGTGTAAGAATTCGTGGTGCTGGTAGACTTACTAATATGCGTGATATCGATATCGAAATAGGTGCTAACTGTGCATGAGTAATTAGGGCCGGCATTCATTCGTATTTTTTTCTGGCGAATATCAACGTGCAAACCTGCAGTCGTCGTCGTTATCACGACCGCACCCGTCATGGCTGGTTCAATTCCACTGGCTAGAAGCACAGAATAATTAGTCTGAAACTACTATGTGTATCTAAAGTGTATCTAAGTACTATGTGTATACTGAAACTACTATGTACTATAAGTTCGTGGACTATCACTTATGGATGATCACTTAGGGATGATCACTTAGGGATGATCACCGAGGTACCACCCACCCATTCAACCCTGAAGTCACGGTGATAATCGAACCCCACCCCACAGTCATTAGCTATAGCCAAGTAGCCCCCTTTTCTCCGTAACAACACCTGCGCAGACATGAGGTGCATGGTCGGACGATGATCAACGATGTCGTGTGCGCGGTGTATCATGCCTCTTACGCAAAACCAGTCACTGCCAGGACGAGAGCGCAAAGAGATGGGCAAACAAGATCAACTGACGCTTTCAATGCAAAACATCGCGCTGCACACGAATTAGGAGCTCGATAGCTGGTTGTGTTCGAAAGCTGGTTTGTCTGTCAACAGGATATCTCAAAAAGTTACGAACGGATTTTTATAAAAAGTTTTTAGACGGGTTGGTCAGCTTGGTCTTATGCCAACAACGAATCGATTAGATTTTGGTGGCGATCCGGATCCAGATCTGTATCCAGGATTTTTTTTTATTTAAATTTATATTTTTGTGTGGGGAAGACTTCGGACGCATTCAAAATTCATCATTTTCTCTCCAAATTACAGAAAATTTCATCAAACTCTATATTGGGTGTACTAGCAAGAAGATGGGGGTGGGACTGTTACGCTGTGGTGGAGGTTTGCTGTCTCTGATTGCTCGTTTTAATGAGGTTTAAGGACTACTAACAGAATCCTAACAACCATATCTTTTCAATACTTCCATCAATGTGTATTTGATAAAAGCTATAGCATCACAATATCAATAAGAGCAGCATATCAGTGCATAAGATGCTGCATGATAATAGAGAAATGCGATATAGAATTGGCCATCTCAGCTACAGTCAAAGCATCCCTTGATTAATAGTGATTATTGTTGAAGGTATCACGACCCTTTTAACATAGTGCTAACAACAGGTAAAAATCTTCAAATAAACCAATAAAATGTATTGCAAAATATATACGTTTATAATAATGAGTGTGAAATCATTTATTACAGAACCCTTCTTATATGATGATAATTTGAAAGCTGATCACACAGATTTCACTTATCAACTACAGTCCTACATCAAAATCAACTACATCACTGGTGCTTTAATACCATGGATCATGATTAGAAACACTACATTTGTAGTTACCATGATCAGCAGAAATGTCTTTCTCAACTGACAAAAGAGCGATAGCTCACATCATTTACGAAAAAACAGCTCGCCTAATAGCTCAGTAAATACTATTGCTCTTTAGCTGTCCGTGAATTCTGGTTTTCTCTTTGCGACAAAGGCAGACATTCCCTCTCTCCGATCGTTCTGCAAGCATAGTTTTAAAATATCAATTGCATATTAATATTGTATCAGACATCAATACCTAAATTTGTCAAGGAATGATTGCATACAAATAATAAGTATAGGTGCCAACTAATACTCAGTAATTATAAACATGCTACTAGGCTGACATAATAAAAAGATTGTTTGTTTGCCCTCACCCGACTGACCCGCCAAAAGAGGGGCCAACTCAACATTTTTTATTGATCTTTGCCAGAGGATGAAGAGCATAATTTATTTGTGTATAAATTCGAGTATCACTGAGTACAATTTATATCAAGAAGTAGATAATAGGGAAGGAATGTGACGTTCAGAATAGAACGATGGAAATTCGTGTTATTTTACTAGGCCTTGAGAATACGCTACGATTACTTACACGCCATAAGCTCAAAGCGCAAACTTGAGGCTCAAAATCGTAGCACAGTACATTCACCTTAGCATTATTGCGAAATCGTTCTATCATATACACCCAGCAATCCGAGACCGCGCACAGGACTGACTAAGTAACGTACGACACGATTCTCATTTTGTTGGCAGCAAGAATAGAACTCCATTAACCCCGCGCTAACATGAAACATAGGGCAGCTTACGTATGACTCTTGTACGCCTGACTTCCCTCTAAGTGCGATGCGGTGTGGCTCGACTGGAAAGATTGCGATAGGAGCCCTGCTGCTGATTGCGGTGGCGTGCGTGCGTGGGGGCATAACCAGCTGTAAATAGTTCAAACGATGGCTCGCCGAGTGTTGCGTCGATGTCCAAAGTTCCCAGCGAGCCACACCGCATCGCCGGAGGGACAGCAAGAGGTGCGCAAGAGTCGTGTAGTGAGCTGCTAGTTGTTTCAAGTATAGGACTGGTTTTATGGAGTCGATTTGCTGGAACAGAACTGGAGCAATCGTGTCGTACCGTTTTAGTCAGTAGGCGGGGGCGGGAGTGTGAGGGTCTGGCGTCCGGATTGTCGGGTGTATACAGGAAACGAGTTTTGCACGATGCTAGACGAATGTACTGTGTACGATTTGAGCTTCAAGTTGGTTGAGTTTACGCGTAGTAAATTGTAGGTATTCTAAGGCTAGTAAATAACGAATTTCCCTTGTTTATTCAAGCACACTCCTTCCCGTATTATCTACCTTCTGATTATATATTATCTCGTAGGGCAATACATTACTAATGTACCCAAGCAAAACAAACATTTCCCAACCCAATAAAAGGGTATCTCCACACAAGCACACCCGAGCCATGTATGATACCATGCTGACATTGGTAAAAAAGACCCCCCCTAGCAAAAAAAAAAAAGAAGCCTACCCATACCTACCAAACTTTTCAGCCTGGGTCAGGAGAGGGCAAACAAATATTTTTTTAATTGTGGCCCTATCTGCTGACAGCTAAATCACATTCATTATATGTGACACTACCTTTAGCTACTCAGCACAGTAAAAAGACAAATTGAGAATTACCATATTTGATTGCAATGGCCGACAGAAAATATACACACTGCAACTCCTCAATATTATACTGACAAGTTGTCAAATTCGTGTGAAAGTCTCTTTCAAAGTGGAGACCATTCTTTCAGATGACGTCTCATAGGCTGAAATGAAATATTTATAGGGTAAAGTAATAGCAAAATATGCATGTAGTGGCACAACAGGGATGGGGGAGGGTGCGTGGGGCTTCGCATTATTATCCTCCTGTCTCCATAACCACAGTAACTATTATGCAAACAATGCTACGGGGATGAAAAGGTTAACACATTTGTGACGCATGAATTAATTACAATATATCAACAATAGATATAATATAGCAATTAAATTCCCTACTAAAAATGTTGAAAGATACCAATTTTACCCATTAAAATTGATAAACCTCACAACCAAAAAGCCTACAATACACCCCAACTGTGAAGCGAATAGCTTGCCAGTATGGAATTGACATCACAAAGATGTTCTATTGCGGCCAGAAATCGTGCTCCGAAGTTTGACTATTGGTGAAAACTCTAGAGTTTCGGCATAAGGCTACAGATACACATAGAGTAAAGATCATACGCAGCGCAAATAGTTCCTGGAAAGAAAACAATATACTGTGTTGTTGACACCATATTCGGTACATATTCTGTCGCTAATAAAAGGCTAGTATAACGGAGTATTCAAGAAGTTCTGAAGATGGCTGTCAGAACGACAGCTGAAACTAGTCAAGGTACAATAATTTAAGATTTAAACACAATGAACAATGATGTTATTAAATGTTTTAAAAGAAATCCGACTGAACTTTCAAAAAAGAAACAAAAACACTATAGTGTGTTGCTGATTTACATAAGTAATGTAGATAACATATGATTAAAGCAAAATTTCACAGTTTGGGTCACTGAATCAATCATCAAATAATAATAATAACTTGTCTATCATAGAAAAAAGACGTTAATTACAAACTGCGATCGCTCGTCTATTTGTCCGGATGTGTAAACCACTTGTAAACATATGAAAGTACTAGTTTCGTAAGACTGTTTAGGTTTGCTGAAGAAATGTTATGAAAGTAGCAATACAAATGAGTTGTAGTGAATTTTTGCAACATAGACGAGCTCATAGTAGGTATATCTATGCATTTTGCTGCGAGAACATGCCGTTTTAAACTTAGAAAAAATTTGTTTGTTGTAATTTAAGATAGTTTTTGGCCCGTACTTGCAATGCGAGTTTAGCCCCTCTGTGCCATCAGAGCCTTAGCCACCTCCCCCACCATAGCTCCCCATTAGAAAATTTAGCCCGTGACTGACAATCACTGGTGTCACCCCTGGACGTGTCAATAGAGAGCTGCACGAGATAGAAACAATAAAGTTCAATTATTTGTATGGTTTTTCATTATTATGCCCTACAGACGGCAGCACCATTCATGTATAGAGAGGGCATGAACACGTGTACGTTTCCATTTCCAGTTTGAAGTTTAGGATAATTATGATTGCATAATGAGAAGCCTTACTGATTCACTGAGTAATAAAGGGTTCACATTGAATATTTCAACTTTTGGTTAACGAATCCGTATCGATATACTTGAGGTGGTCTTAGCAAGTTCGTAAAAATCCAGAAGAAAATTCACGCCTCGATTACCAGATGAACATCGAGTTTTTATAAACTAATGTGGTACTGCTTAATTATACTTCATTTCTCGGTGATGCAGTGTACTGAACTTGGAATTATTTTGATGCAAAACAAAAGATTCTCATGCAGTCATAGATGCACGAGTAAGTCGCATACCAGTATTGATGGCTTCCTTGCACATTGATGTGGCAACTTTAGAGTAGCTTGCTATCTTTTCTGCGGTCTTCACGGCTTCATCCACCAGCTGCTCATCTGGCAAGACCTTACTCACTAATCCTGCATCAAGTACATCAATGAAAATCAACAGCATCATATACCACACCGCATCTTACGCACTATCACAACTTCCCAACACGTTGAGTGAATTCCCAAAGTGAGTGAATTATGAGATATGGAGGCACGAAAATCTACCTAAATTTACAATGGGCGTCAAATCGGTTTAATTAACATACCCGCTTGCAAGGCTTGCTGGGCATTGACCCTATCTCCAGTCAAACACATTTCCATGGCCATAGACTTGCCAACAACCCTTGGCAAGCGCTGCGTTCCACCAGCACCTGCAAATTTTGGCAATGATAATGACGTCAAGTGGCATGAAATATACAAAAACAACACGAGGTAAGAAAAATTTACAAGTTCATTACTGCTGTGCTAAGCAAACAAAGTTTATAGATTACAAGTGTTGTAAGTGAGTACAGTAGAACACCAGGTTACAGAAGGGATGCATCATTGAAATGTTTAAGGTAGTGCAAAATTCTGTAACATGAACCCCATTTTCCATGAGTCATTATGAAATCGACATATTATATAGTAGTATGTATTAAGAGTAAGATATATATTATATTAAATTATCTCATATAATCTTGTGGTAAGATAGTATAATTTTATGGGTCATTCCATCGGGTTGGGGACCAGTGCGTATGATGCACTATATCACGTTTGAAGTTGCAAGTTCATTCACAGACATTTTTTCATTAACCTGTAGATTGTCTCAAAGGTGCAAACCTAAGCTTCAAAATAAGACAAAACCTCACTGCATTGGACAAAATTTCACCGTTAGAAAGGGCTGACAAATCATGGTGTCAGGAGTTGTATTTGTAACAAAATGTGTGTGACATATGGAAAATATAAAGAGAAGTAATTCGTTTCATATTAAGAATGCATATTTACACATTTTTCTCATGGTCTTACGTTCGAGAAATACCCCAAACCTCTCCATGAAAAACAACTTTCACCTTCTGAAAATTCCAAACACATCAGCTGCAATCGTGGAACAACCACTTTGACGTAAAAGATGAAAGATGAAAAAACATGTTCGTGCTGTCAACGAGGCAGAACCAGGTCTAGATCCCGATGAGTTCAACATAGACAGTGTCCACAGTGTTGATGGTATCAACAAGACAGTCGCCGATCTCTCAACCCCATCGGGTCACGTGATTTCCGTCAAAGTTGACACTGGAGCTGAGGCCAACGTGTTACCTGTAGCTTTACAACAGTCTCTTGGCTGTCAACTACTGCAGTGTGAGGATCGACTGTACAGCTACTCTGGGCACCCACTGGAAACACTGGGTACGTGTGTAATTTCATGTACACATAAGGAGATTACCTTAAACACTACCTTTAGCTACTCAGCACAGTAAAAAGACAAATTAATTTACCTATTTGATTGCAATGCCACAAAAATATACACTGCAACTCTAATATATACTTACAGTTGCAAATGTCGTGTGAAAAGTTCTCTTTTCAAAGTGGAGACCTTCTTTCAATGACGTCTCATAGGCTGAAATAAATATTTATAGGTAAAGTAATAGGCAAAATATGCATGTATGTGGCACCAGAGGGATGGGGGAGGGGCGCGTGGGGCTTGCATTATTATCTCCTGTCTCCATAACCACAGTAATTTATGCAAACAATCTACGGGATGAAAGGTTAACATTTGTACGCATGATATATTACAATATATCAATAGCTATATAGATATAGCAATTAATTCCTACTAAAAATGTTGAAGATACCATTTTTACCCATTAAAATTGATAAACCTCGCAACAAAAAGCCTACATACACCCACTGTGAGCATACTTGCAGTATGGAATTACATCACGAAATGTTCTTATTGCGCCAGAAATGTGCTCCGAAGTTGACTATTTTGAAAACTCTAGAGTTTCGGCATAGGCCTACAGATACACATAGAGTAAGATATACGCTAGCGCAAATAGTTCCTGGAAAGAAAACACTATACTGTGTTTTGACACATATTCGTGACATATTCTGTCACTATACTATATGGGACGAATTCAGAAGTTCTGAAGATGGCTGTCAGAACGACAGCTAAAACTGTCAAGGTAAATAATTTAAGGATTTAACCATGAACAATGATGTTATTAATGTTTTAAAAGAAATCCGACTATGAACTTTCAAAAAAAACAAAAACACTATAGTTGTTTGCTGATTACATAAGTAATGTAGATAACATATGATTTAAACAAATTTCACAGTTTGGTACTGAACAAACATCAAATAATGAATAATAACTTGTTCTATCATAGAAAAGAACCGTTAATGAAAACTGCGATCGCTCGGCTATGTCCCGGATGTGTAAACACTGTGTAAACATATGAAAGTACTAGTTTCGTAAGACTGTTTAGGTTTGCTGAAGAAATGTTATGAAAGTAGCAATACAAATGAGTTGTAGTGAATTTTTGCAACATAGACGAGCTCATAGTAGGTATATCTATGCATTTTGCTGCGAGAACATGCCGTTTTAAACTTAGAAAAAATTTGTTTGTTGTAATTTAAGATAGTTTTTGGCCCGTACTTGCAATGCGAGTTTAGCCCCTCTGTGCCATCAGAGCCTTAGCCACCTCCCCCACCATAGCTCCCCATTAGAAAATTTAGCCCGTGACTGACAATCACTGGTGTCACCCCTGGACGTGTCAATAGAGAGCTGCACGAGATAGAAACAATAAAGTTCAATTATTTGTATGGTTTTTCATTATTATGCCCTACAGACGGCAGCACCATTCATGTATAGAGAGGGCATGAACACGTGTACGTTTCCATTTCAAGTTTGAAGTTTAGGAAAATTATGATTGCATAATGAGAAGCCTTACTGATTCACTGAGTAATAAAGGGTTCACATTGAATATTTCGATATACTTGAGGTGTTCTTAGCAAGTTCGTAA